GTGTGGATGATATTCAAGGCTTGGAGCCCCTGGGAGCGAGTGACCACTCGATGATCATAGCCAGCTTGAAACTACCGCTGCCAAATGCTACCCCGCTGGAGCGAGCCTTCAATTATTGGAAGGCGGACTTTAATGGACTCACTCCGGCAGCAAGCCAGATGGACTGGTCGTTACCAGAGGATTCGTCTATTGAAACCTGTTGAACTATCATCAAAGAAGGAGTGAAATGATTGTGCTCCCGGTTTGTATCCCTCAAATATCGGGAAGTTTGGCCAGTCATGCTACATTAGTTCGACCAGGATTACAGCAAACGGGCCCGACGAAGACGCAGACTATGGAACAAATTCGTGTTATCTGGCTCTGATGAGGATTACACGACTTAAAAAGTACAGCGAAATCTCTCCAACAACACGAAAACAAACATACGCAGAAGCTTCGAAGAGGAGCTTGCAACCGCCGCAAAAACTGCTCCCAAGAGGATCTTCGCATACGTGAAGAGGTGCCTGAGGACCGCAGGTATGTACCAGTGTTGGAAGACTCAGATGAACAGCCCCTAACCTCGAGCACAGATCGTGCGTCCGCATTGGCGGCACACTTCCCCTCCGTATTTGCAAGTGACCAGGTGTCTGTAACGAATCCGACTTGCCGCTCCCGCTGAACTAGACAGCTTGGAGTGCAGCAATGAAGAGGCATGCAAGCCTCTGGGAAGTCTTGACGGGACGAAGCCTGCCGGGCCAGACGGCATCCACCCACTGATCCTCAAGTCCCTTTCAGCCATCATCTCGTCTTCTGTAACTGAGCTGTTCAACAGGTCACTAACCATTGGACTATTACCGGGCGATTGGAAATGCTCATTCGTAAAGCGAATACCGAAAGGTGGTAACCCGAGCAAAGTGGATAACTACCGACCGGTCTGCCTGACCGCTGTTTTGGCAAAGGAGCTCGAGAAGATCGTGAAGAAGAGCCTTCTGCAGCTTCGCGATTCGAAAAGCCTCGATGCTTGCACAGCATGGTTTTATGAAAGGTCGCTCGTGCATCACCAGCCTACTGTTGACCAGGTACGAATGGTTGCAAGTGCTAAACCACGCTAAGTCGGTCCCCACTATGTGGAAGTGTGTCCCCACTATGTGGAAATGTGACATTATAACCCCTATTTTTAAAGGCGGTAGCCGTTCCGATCCTGCAAACTATCGTCCAGTGACCCTCCTCCCTGTGCTCGCGAAGGTGATGGAAGCAGTCGTTGCCGAGGGTTTAATGGACTACCTAGAAAAATGCAACATTTTGGTACCGGAACAGCATGGCTTCCGTCAACACCGGTCATGCACCACCAACCTACTTATTGCACGAGGTAGTTGGACGGAAGTGGCCGATGATGGGGTCGGAGTCGACGTCATCTATCTGGACTTCTCCAAAGCTTTCGACCGCCTTGATCACCGCATCCTACTTCAAAGACTACAAAGTTACGGAATCGGAGATCCTGTACTTGGTTGGATTGGCAACTTCCTTTACCAACGAAAGATTCAAGCACGTGTTAGGAGATTACTTTCTAACCCAATTAAGGTGGAATGTGGTGTCCCACAAGGCTCAGTGCTGGGACCGCGTTTATTCCTGGTGTTTATCAACGACCTGGCAAGAGTCATCTCCTCAAACTTCCTGCTTTTCGCCGATGACGTCAAGATATGGCGGGCGATTAGTAACAAGGCAGATCAGAATCTGCTCCAACATGACCTAAGCTGCATTTACGAATGTTCAAAGAGGAACAAGCTTCAATTGAACATGGCTAAGTGCAAAGTGATGCATCTGCGTCACCAGCTGGTGAGCGCTTACAAGATTGGAGACCACACCTTGGCGAAGGTTTCTCAGGAGCGTGACCTGGGTGTATTGGTACAGGAAGATCTCGGGTGTTCAAAACAAGCAGAGAAGGCGAGGAGAACCGGAAATCAACACTTCGGCCTTCTTTGCAGAGCCTTCGGTCGGTTTGAACCATCAATATTTCCCCAAATGCTTAACGCCTACGTGGGACCTCACGTGGAATATGCTATTCAGGCGTGGCAGCCGTGGCAGAAACAGGATCTCGTTGCTCTCGAGACTCCTCAACGACGGGCAACCAAGAACGTCAGGGGCCTCTTTCATCTGCCCTATCAGCTTAAACTGAAATCTCTAAGAATGTGCAGCGGTCGATATCGGCTTTTGCGGGGGGATCTCATAATAGTTTACCAGATTCCGAAGAACCTAAACCATATTTGCCGTCCGCTGCTGGAATTGAACCACAACACTAAACTAAGAGGTCACCCTCTGAAACTGACAATTCATTATAGCCGGCTTGAATGCCGTAGAAATTTCTTTTCTCTCCGCGTGTGTGAGCCTTGGAACGCTCTCCCTAATAATGTCGTCTCTGCTCCCAATCTGGCGATATTTAAAAAACGTGTTGACGATGCATTGTCTCACTTGCATTTCATTTTATGACTTGTTAGCCAGGGGCAACAAAACGCAATCAAACGGTTTCTTGCCAAACGCCTAACCATTGGATTGATGGATTTATACGTTTGATATGCGAGCATCGCCGCTATTTCACATAAGTCTATGGTGAGTCCACCACAACGCTTTTCACGTTATTATGCAATTGATTTTCGCAATAATTTCCCTCCCACGGGACTTGTTAAGCGATGCTTTTTTTACCCGTATTAAACCATTGTCCATTGTCTATTGACGTTATTTACATTGACTACAGTAAGGCTTTTGACAAGCTGAATCATGCAGTGCTCCTCGACAGGTTGAGGGTATTCGGTGTTGGCGTCCTGCTGCATCGATGGATCAAAGATTTCCTTGTGGGTCGAGGGATGACTTACTTAATTTAGATTTCGTATCGTTATTACGTAGCTTGAATAGTGCAATCATGTCCGTTTCTGGTGATTCTCTTGATGACGTTGACGCTACTGATGCTGAGAAGCTTCAGAGAGCTGAATCCCGTATTCGTTTGCTGAAGTCAGCTTTAACGAGCATGCGCATGCTGCAGGCGAAGAGGGTTGATGTTAAGGACTACTGTGAACCTGAATTTGAATCGGATGCGTTAGTTAGTGAACGATCGCTAATTATTTCGGCCGACGCTTCTTAACTCCCGCCTGAATTAACCATTTGCTCGTCTTTTTTTTGAAGCCAATTAACATGGGGTCTACGGTTGTCATCCGTGGCTCAGTTGGTTTGTCCGTCGGCAACCGTTGGTGCCCAGGTTCAATCCCAGTCGGAGGCATTTTACTCCGGTCTGCAAGCTGACAGTAACCAGTGTCCGGAATACAAATCCAGCTGTTTTGGACCCAGCAGGTCATCCTGTCTTCCAAAGCGCAAACTGATCACATTCGATGGAGATCCTGGCCGCTATTGGATATTAATACGATGCTTCGTAATTAAAGTTTCCAGAACTATTTCCGATCCCAACTATCACGCCTTAATAGCTGATACAGTACTGTTGTGGTGAAGCCAAACAAGCTCTCGAAAGTTGCTTAATACTTGACCTTGGTGAAGGTTTTGAAGAAACAATGAACCTTTTACGCAGACGCTTCGGACGGCCCCACATGATTGCTAGGACTCACATTAATGCGCTAACTGATGGCCCTAACATCAGGCCCAATGTTTTCGTGGCTCTGTCTCGTTTAGTCGTGGAGCTGCGTTCATTCTACTGGACATTGAAACAGTTGAGGTATGAATCCGATTTGAATGAGTCTAGAACAATCAGCTCTATCATCAGTAGGCTGCCCAACCGTCTGCAATTCAAGTGGACCGAGCATGCTGCCAGAGTCATTCGCACCAAAAGTGAACCGAACTTCATTGGTTTGACAGATTTCGTGGATGAAACCGCAGACGTCGTCGATACTTACTTGTACTTTGCCGCATGTCCCTGCGGACCACCGACCAGCACCGATAGATGCAGAAGCTTAAACCCTGGGATATGCCGCTTGCCAAACACCGCGGTTTCCTCAGAACGAAATTTCTCCAAATGTTTTTCTTGTGAACGACGTTATTATTTAGATCATTGCGATGATTTCCGGAAGCTCAGCCACCACGAACATCTTGAATTCTGTCGCACCCATTGACTGTGTAAACTCTGCCTGAAAGCGAATCATAACTTATCAAATTGCCGATCACGAAGGTGTTGTGAGTCGGACGATTGTAAGCTGTTTCACCACTCGTTACTCCACGCTGATCGAAGCAAGTTCGGAATACCAAACACTGAAGGACCCAGTTTTAGCCTAAGTCACGTCGATCGCTCCTCCCTATCGCTTGGTTTGTTGCCAGTATATGTTTGTGGTTATGCAAGCACCATTCGAACATCAGTCCTAATAGATAATGGGTCAAATACTTCACTGATTGATTCAGCCTTACTACAAGTTATCGGGGTACAAGGGTCCATGATGACACTTAACATTAGTACCTTCGCTGGCTGTTGCCAAGTGCAGTCACAGTTGGTTAGTGTAACTATTCAATCTATACATGCTGATGAGGCAGTCCAATTGAATTCAATTAAGTCAGTCAATCGGCTCCCTGAAAATCTTGGAACGGGAAACAGAAACAACGATTTCTACAGATGGTCTGCCCTCTCCGACCTACGGTTACCGGAGCTGGAATGAAGGGTTGAACTTTTGATTGGAAGCGAAAACCCATACTTACACTGGCCATTAGATCACAGGCGCGGGGATCCTGATGATCCGTATACTGTTAAAATTCCATTGGTCTGGATCATACTGGGACAGAACAAACAGCACCAGACTATGAGGGACCAATCCACATCAATGAAAGTGGATGGAATAAGGAGAACAAACTCAGTTCGCTGCGATACCACTGACCTTCATTAACTACTAGGGCAAATGTATGAAAAAGCATTTGGCGGACTAGATAGTGCATGATTTGCCATATCTGTGAACGATAGAAGCGCGTTAATACTAATGGAAGCCTTAGTTGGTGTCAGGATCCGGTTCTTGTGTTCGTAATGATCGAGGTCTACTTCACAGAGGACCGAGGTCCCCCCCCCCCCCCCCCCCCCCCCCCCCCCCCCCCCCCCCCCCCCCCCCCCCCCCCCCCCCCCCCCCCCCCCCCCCCCCCCCCCCCCCCCCCCCCCCCCCCCCCCCCCCCCCCCCCCCCCCCCCCCCCCCCCCCCCCCCCCCCCCCCCCCCCCCCCCCCCCCCCCCCCCCCCCCCCCCCCCCCCCCCCCCCCCCCCCCCCCCCCCCCCCCCCCCCCCCCCCCCCCCCCCCCCCCCCCCCCCCCCCCCCCCCCCCGCCCCCCCCCCCCCCCCCCCCCCCCCCCCCCCCCCCCACCCCCCCCCCCCCCCCCCCCCCCCCCCCCCCCCCCCCCCCCCCCCCCCCCCACCCCCCCCCCCCCCCCCCCCCCCCCCCCCCCCCCCCCCCCCCCCCCCCCCCCCCCCCCCCCCCCCCCCCCCCCCCCCCCCCCCCCCCCCCCCCCCCCCCCCCCCCCCCCCCCCCCCCCCCCCCCCCCCCCCCCCCCCCCCCCCCCCCCCCCCCCCCCCCACCCCCCCCCCCCCCCCCCCCCCCCCCCCCCCCCCCCCCCCCCCCCCCCCCCCCCCCCCCCCCCCCCCCCCCCCCCCCCCCCTCCCGCCCCCCCCCCCCAAACCCCCCCCCCCCCCTCCCCCCCCCCCCCCCCCCCCCCCCCCCCCCCCCCCCCCCCCCCCCCCCCCCCCCCCCCCCCCCCCCCCCCCCCCCCCCCCCCCCCCCACCCCCCCCCCCCCCCCCCCCCCCCCCCCCCCCCCCCCCCCCCCCCCCCCCCCCCCCCCCCCCCCCCCCCCCCCCCCCCCCCCCCCCCCCCCCCCCCCCCCCCCCCCCCCCCCCCCCCCCCCCCCCCCCCCCCCCCCCCCCCCCCCCCCCCCCCCCCCCCCCCCCCCCCCCCCCCCCCCCCCCCCCCCCCCCCCCCCCCCCCCCCCCCCCCCCCCCCCCCCCCCCCCCCCCCCCCCCCCCCCCCCCCCCCCCCCCCCCCCCCCCCCCCCCCCCCCCCCCCCCCCCCCCCCCCACCCCCCCCCCCCCCCCCCCCCCCCCCCCCCCCCCCCCCCCCCCCCCCCCCCCCCCCCCCCCCCCCCCCCCCCCCCCCCCCCCCCCCCCCCCCCCCCCCCCCCCCCCCCCCCCCCCCCCCCCCCCCCCCCCCCCCCCCCCCCCCCCCCCCCCCCCCCCCCCCCCCCCCCCCCCCCCCCCCCCCCCCCCCCCCCCCCCCTCCCCCCCCCCCCCCCCCCCCCCCCCCCCCCCCCCCCCCCCCCCCCCCCCCCCCCACCCCCCCCCCCCCCCCCCCCCCCCCCCCCCCCCCCCCCCCCCCCCCCCCCCCCCCCCCCCCCCCCCCCCCCCCCCCCCCCCCCCCCCCCCCCCCCCCCCCCCCCCCCCCCCCCCCCCCCCCCCCCCCCCCCCCCCCCCCCCCCCCCCCCCCCCCCCCCCCCCCCCCCCCCCCCCCCCCCCCCCCCCCCCCCCCCCCCCCCCCCCCCCCCCCCCCCCCCCCCCCCCCCCCCCCCCCCACCCCCCCCCCCCCCCCCCCCCCCCCCCCCCCCCCCCCCCCCCCCCCCCCCCCCCCCCCCCCCCCCCCCCCCCCCCCCCCCCCCCCCCCCCCCCCCCCCCCCCCCCCCCCCCCCCCCCCCCCCCCCCCCCCCCCCCCCCCCCCCCCCCCCCCCCCCCCCCCCCCCCCCCCCCCCCCCCCCCCCCCCCCCCCCCCCCCCCCCCCCCCCCCCCCCCCCCCCCCCCCCCCCCCCCCCCCCCCCCCCCCCCCCCCCCCCCCCCCCCCCCCCCCCCCCCCCCCCCCCCCCCCCCCCCCCCCCCCCCCCCCCCCCCCCCCCCCCCCCCCCCCCACCCCCCCCCCCCCCCCCCCCCCCCCCCCCCCCCCCCCCCCCCCCCCCCCCCCCCCCCCCCCCCCCCCCCCCCCCCCCCCCCCCCCCCCCCCCCCCCCCCCCCCCCCCCCCCCCCCCCCCCCCCCCCCCCCCCCCCCCCCCCCCCCCCCCCCCCCCCCCCCCCCCCCCCCCCCCCCCCCCCCCCCCCCCCCCCCCCCCCCCCCCCCCCCCCCCCCCCCCCCCCCCCCCCCCCCCCCCCCCCCCCCCCCCCCCCCCCCCCCCCCCCCCCCCCCCCCCCCCCCCCCCCCCCCCCCCCCCCCCCCCCCCCCCCCCCCCCCCCCCCCCCCCCCCCCCCCCCCCCCCCCCCCCCCCCCCCCCCCCCCCCCCCCCCCCCCCCCCCCCCCCCCCCCCCCCCCCCCCCCCCCCCCCCCCCCCCCCCCCCCCCCCCCCCCCCCCCCCCCCCCCCCCCCCCCCCCCCCCCCCCCCCCCCCCCCCCCCCCCCCCCCCCCCCCCCCCCCCCCCCCCCCCCCCCCCCCACCCCCCCCCCCCCCCCCCCCCCCCCCCCCCCCCCCCCCCCCCCCCCCCCCCCCCCCCCCCCCCCCCCCCCCCCCGCCCCCCCCCCCCCCCCCCCCCCCCCGCCCCCCCCCCCCCCCCCCCCCCCCCCCCCCCCCCCCCCCCCCCCCCCCCCCCCCCCCCCCCCCCCCCCCCCCCCCCCCCCCCCCCCCCCCCCCCCCCCCCCCCCCCCCCCCCCCCCCCCCCCCCCCCCCCCCCCCCCCCCCCCCCCCCCCCCCCCCCCCCCCCCCCCCCCCCCCCCCCCCCCCCCCCCCCCCCCCCCCCCCCCCCCCCCACCCCCCCCCCCCCCCCCCCCCCCCCCCCCCCCCCCCCCCCCCCCCCCCCCCCCCCCCCCCCCCCCCCCCCCCCCCCCCCCCCCCCCCCCCCCCCCCCCCCCCCCCCCCCCCCCCCCCCCCCCCCCCCCCCCCCCCCCCCCCCCCCCCCCCCCCCCCCCCCCCCCCCCCCCCCCCCCCCCCCCCCCCCCCCCCCCCCCCCCCCCCCCCCCCCCCCCCCCCCCCCCCCCCCCCCCCCCCCCCCCCCCCCCCCCCCCCCCCCCCCCCCCCCCCCCCACCCCCCCCCCCCCCCCCCCCCCCCCCCCCCCCCCCCCCCCCCCCCCCCCCCCCCCCCCCCCCCCCCCCCCCCCCCCCCCCCCCCACCCCCCCCCCCCCCCCCCCCCCCCCCCCCCCCCCCCCCCCCCCCCCCCCCCCCCCCCCCCCCCCCCCCCCCCCCCCCCCCCCCCCCCCCCCCCCCCCCCCCCCCCCCCCCCCCCCCCCCCCCCCCCCCCCCCCCCCCCCCCCCCCCCCCCCCCCCCCCCCCCCCCCCCCCCCCCCCCCCCCCCCCCCCCCCCCCCCCCCCCCCCCCCCCCCCCCCCCCCCCCCCCCCCCCCCCCCCCCCCCCCCCCCCCCCCCCCCCCCCCCCCCCCCCCCCCCCCCCCCCCCCCCCCCCCCCCCCCCCCCCCCCCCCCCCCCCCCCCCCCCCCCCCCCCCCCCCCCCCCCCCCCCCCCCCCCCCCCCCCCCCCCCCCCCCCCCCCCCCCCCCCCCCACCCCCCCCCCCCCCCCCCCCCCCCCCCCCCCCCCCCCCCCCCCCCCCCCCCCCCCCCCCCCCCCCCCCCCCCCCCCCCCCCCCCCCCCCCCCCCCCCCCCCCCCCCCCCCCCCCCCCCCCCCCCCCCCCCCACCCCCCCCCCCCCCCCCCCCCCCCCCCCCCCCCCCCCCCCCCCCCCCCCCCCCCCCCCCCCCCCCCCCCCCCCCCCCCCCCCCCCCCCCCCCCCCCCCCCCCCCCCCCCCCCCCCCCCCCCCCCCCCCCCCCCCCCCCCCCCCCCCCCCCCCCCCCCCCCCCCCCCCCCCCCCCCCCCCCCCCCCCCCCCCCCCCCCCCCCCCCCCCCCACCCCCCCCCCCCCCCCCCCCCCCCCCCCCCCCCCCCCCCCCCCCCCCCCCCCCCCCCCCCCCCCCCCCCCCCCCCCCCCCCCCCCCCCCCCCCCCCCCCCCCCCCCCCCCCCCCACCCCCCCCCCCCCCCCCCCCCCCCCCCCCCCCCCCCCCCCCCCCCCCCCCCCCCCCCCCCCCCCCCCCCCCCCCCCCCCCCCCCCCCACCCCCCCCCCCCCCCACCCCCCCCCCCCCCCCCCCCCCCCCCCCCCCCCCCCCCCCCCCCCCCCCCCCCCCCCCACCCCCCCCCCCCCCCCCCCCCCCCCCCCCCCCCCCCCCCCCCCCCCCCCCCCACCCCCCCCCCCCCCCCCCCCCCCCCCCCCCCCCCCCCCCCCCCCCCCCCCCCCCCCCCCCCCCACCCCCCCCCCCCCCCCCCCCCCCCCCCCCCCCCCCCCCCCCCCCCCCCCCCCCCCCCCCCCCCCCCCCCCCCCCCCCCCCCCCCCCCCCCCCCCCCCCCCCACCCCCCCCCCCCCCCCCCCCCCCCCCCCCCCCCCCCCCCCCCCCCCCCCCCCCCCCCCCCCCCCCCCCCCCCCCCACCCCCCCCCCCCCCCCCCCCCCCCCCCCCCCCCCCCCCCCCCCCCCCCCCCCCCCCCCCCCCCCCCCCCCCCCCCCCCCCCCCCCCCCCCCCCCCCCCCCCCACCCCCCCCCCCCCCCCCCCCCCTAT